TTCCTTTGACGAACTGAAGATCAAAATGTCGTCGAAATACACGACCACCGATTTTCCCATGAGAGGTCGGAGAGCTTGATTCATGATGCGCATGAATGTGCTCGGCGCATTCGACAAACCAAAAGGCATGACGAGCCACTCAAATAATCCCTCGCGCGTCTTAAAAGCTGTCTTCCATTCGTCACCAGGACGAATACGAATCTGATGGTAGCCACTCTTGAGATCAATCTTGGAAAAGATGGTCGCTGCTCCTATTTGATCAAGAAGATCATCCAAGCGAGGAATCGGAAAGCGATAGCACACCGTGATTTTATTAATCGCGCGACTGTCTACGCACATACGCCATGAACCGTCTTTCTTAGGGATGAGTAAGGCAGGAACAGCGCACGGACTTAAGCTTTCCCGAATGTGACCTTTTCGCAAGAGCTCTTCGACCTGGCGTCGCAACTCGTCGTGCTCAAGAGAACTCATGCGGTAATGAGCTCTGTTTGGCAGTGTCGCGCCAGGGATAAGATCAATGTTGTGCTGTATATCCCGCAATGGTGGTAAACCGGATGGTAGATCCACTGGAAATACGTCGCTAAACTCTGCAATGACAGAGGAAAGAGCAGGATCCGGTATCGCAGAAAGACTGCGTGCGCCTGACGCGGGAAGCAAGGCAAAAGCAAAACCCTCCGTTTGTAACTCTGCAGAGAACATCGCATAAGAACATAGTACATTAGACGGACGCTTGCGCGAAGTCGATGATTGCGAGTCTGGCAGTGTGCTCGGTGAAGGAGGAGGTGGCAAAGAAAGTTCCCGCGACGGAAGGAGCAGGATTTGGTGCGTCTCCCAAATGAAACTGTAGGTATTCCGCGCCCCATCGTGTATAATCTTCCGATCGAATTCCCACGGTCGCCCTAACAAGAGGTGACTGACATCCATGGGTGCGACATCGCAGTACGTGCGATCGCGATAATGAAGGCCAATGGAGAATGCGACCAACGCACTGCGTGATACGAACACTGACACCTTCTTGCAACCATCCGAGAGTATAAGGTGCAGGATGATTTTCTCCCGAAATGCCGAGCTTACCGGCTGCAACATCGGAGATGACATTGCGACAGCTGCCAGAGTCGATGATGAACGTACAAATACGATCCTTAATTGTGCAGGTGGAACAAAATATATTCGTTCGAAGCCATTGATCATCCTGTCTGCGCGGCGTTAAACACGAACGTCGCACAACTAAAAGATGGCCTGTATCACCAGGTGTGATCTGCAGGGAAGCTGTGTTAGGGTCAACATCATCATCATGAGAGTCGTACAAGGCGTCGTGGTCCTCTGTTGGTCCATCTGTGACAAGTCACGCCGAGTTTGATGGGGACAAGCTGTTTGCCGGTGTCCCTATTCGCCACAAGAATAGCACCGTAATGCTGCAGGTCGTGACGAACGACGCAACACTGGTTCTTCCGCCGGAGCTGTAGGACGAGAGGCAGAAGCCGCACCTTCAGTACTCTCCTTTGTCGCAACTGGGTTCGATCCAACGCTCTGCTCGAGTACCCTGTTTCTGGACGCTGAAGACGGCCAATTAGAGGAACGCAGCTGTTGCTCGAATGACGCAGCGCGTCGGATTGCTTCGCTGATCGAGGTCGGGTCAAATTGAGCCATTGCGGTCTGAAGCTGAGATCGAAGGCCGCCAATGAAGCGAGAAACAAGCTGGTTTTCACTGTCGCGCAGCTCGTTTTGCGTTAACAGAATTGAGAACTCTTCCGCGTAGTCGTCCACCGTGTGCGATCCTTGTTGCAGATTTTGGAGTCGCGTATACATAGTGCGATCGTAGTTGTGCGGTAAAAAGGCCTTGCGCAGGTGTTTCTTCAATCTCTCCCACGATTGAATTGGCTCTTTGCCTGTGCGTGTGCGCATGGACTTGAGCTGCTTCCACCAAGACGCGGCATGACCGCGAAAACGCATCGCGACCAATGGAACTCGTCTGTGATCGGGCACCTGTTTAAAATCGAGCACCTCCTCAACCGAAACAAGCCAATCCAGAAGTTCGTCGCCACGAATTCCTCCATGGAATTCTGGAATGTCGACACGAAACCCAGATTCCCACTTGTTGCCACGGTCATCACCATAAGCATCATCTCGTCGGACACGACGGTGGTGAGGGTCATCATCATCATCGTCTTCCGTATTGTATGCCTCGTCGCGGTTGTGTGCACGAGCCGGGACACGGGCGTCCAATCGGTTTAACAACATCTCTCCAAGCTCAGCGATGGAAGCATGGATTGTCGTCTGAATGTTTTCCTGCAACGCTAGGAGTGTGGAACGCAATTCAGCCCATTCGGTCGTCGGAACTGGAGCTGTCGTCGGAGCTGGTGCTGTATTCTCGCCGCCGTTGCCATTCTTCTTTGGAGGCATCGTGACAGAGATCCGAAACTACAGAAACGTACTGAATCTGATACCAACTGATAGAGAGCGGAAGCTGTAACAAGAGATCGGAGATGAAGTCGTCGAAAGAAAACTCGTAACGAACTCAAATAAACAAGAGTACTCCTCTTAGTGCTTGAAAGCTCTGATAATTATTAGTTTCAAAAGTCGAAAGTTGTTCCACAATGAATCGTAAATGTCCTATAAATACTAACTAAAGAGATAAAGCTAACTTCCTAAACCCAATCCTAACTATAAAGGATTTATGCATATCCTTTTAATAAGAAAATCTCAAACTGAATAAAAGATAAATAGTATAACTTGGCAAACACGAACGAGGCCCACGCATGTTTGCTGAAGCCCGAAATCAAAGGATGCGCTGCATCAGGAGGTCTAGATTTGCGAACAGTCTCTCTTTCCACATGTTATAGTCGATCACACAGTTGAATTTCTCGATCTCAATTTTAGCGGAAGACATCGTGACCGAGAATCAACACACCAGAACAATCGACGACATAATCGAGCTAGATCTTTCCCAGTATTCCCGACCTTCGCTTTGATACCACTTGTTGCGAATATCTCCGATATTGATTGAACTATGTTTATATGAATCGATTACGATTGATGGATTAGAATCAGAATGATTTATGAACGAAACAGAAAAAATAGCGACACGCGAGGATTTATCCAGTTCGGGTGCAAAACCGCAACCCTACGTCTGGCCGAGACTTGCTTGGAATTCACTAAGAGATTGTTTACAACGTCGCCGTACAATGTCACTGGAAAACTCCCCTGAGATCCCTTTTTCTCTCACCGGAAAAATATCTCACCGTTTTCCTCTCAGATTACAAGATCCTCACTTTCTCTCTAAACTCTCGTAACTGAATGTGTAATCACTCGCAGCTAACTTCAACAACTTGTAACAAGAAGACTAACCACTTAGACGCGCGTTAACTCCACGCACTAACGGTCACAAGCTCGAGTTCTTCAGCTTCAAGACGAAGCTTCTAACGACGACGTTTTTAGGTGGAATTATATTAGACCCGCGGTTAATTCATCTTAACCCGGCTCTTCCTCAATCAGTTCCTAAACCGGAACCTGCCAATTGCATCAGATGGTTTAATGACCAAAACACATCCGACAGAAAGAAATCGATAATGATGAGTCACCTCTCACTTTTATCTCTTGTTAACTATTTGCACCTAAATGAAATGAAATTTTTTTTGTCCAAATGGATTTGAAATGGTTACTTGCTCCATTATACTATTTACATATCTATACAGTTAAACATAAAGCCCAATTATTGGGTAAACTATCTCCCAAAAATTAGGCTTTGCTAGTATTTATTGATTTAGTGTTAGTTATGAATCAGAAATACTGGTAATTAGATTTACTTCGGTTTCAAAAAAGTATGATTTGCTAGATTTATTAACTCAGGTCATAGTTTGGTCTCAATAATTATCCTTTCGTAGAGTATATCTCTCTATTTATCTATTTACGATGTACACAAAGTAGACAAAGTCAACGTCTAAACCTTTGTACAGATGATGTAATGTAACAATATCAAATAAGTTTCCTAAAATTGCCAGGTTTTTAGTATAGTTTTCCTTTTCCGAGAGGGATCAGGATCACTCCAAAACTTCTTTAATAAACTAAAAAAAACGTATTCGAAGAATTAAAATCACAAAAAGCCAAATTAAGAGCTTAGCTTCATAGTCTCTCATCAATTCGATTTTTGTTCAATATAGTTGGTACGAAACGAAACATGGACATAGAGAAGACACAAGAGTCGCAGCAGAAGACCGACGATGAACTCTGGTTCCACGTTCCTCCTCAGACATTCGACTCCTTGAGATCATCACCATCTTCTTCTACCGATGCAATCATCATCAACGACAACGACGAGGATGAAACCCTAGAGTCGAAAGATAAGAAGACAGACAACCTCGATTCTCCGACGTTTAACTCCTTGGACTCACTGCCCTCTACTAATGCAATCATCATCAACGACGACGACGATAAGAAGAAGAAGAAGAAGTTGAGATTAGGGTCTTCGTTGGAGAAAGATGAAGCCTATAACGAACTAAGTTGCGTGGTGAAGTGGTTACCGAAGAAGAAGGACGATAATGATGCTGAATCAAGAGTAGTAGATTCAAGCTTTTCTTCTACTGATCCTCACGAGAAGGACGAAGAGAGATCAGTATCATCAAGTCATCATGACAAGAGTGGTAATAGTGGCAATAGACACGTGTCCCTTGATGATTTGGGTGTTTCGGTGGAAGATCTTAAGAGTATGCCATGGGAAGCGTTTGACCCGAATTGGGATATTAGGTCAGAGGCCAAGGATCCATGGCTTGGTGGCTACGTCAAAGACATGTTCTCTCCTCATCACTAATTTCCCACACTTATTTATTTCCTTTTTTAATTAATTTTTCAAAAAAAAGAGAAAAGTAACATCTTTTATTAATTTGTGAGATTATTAACTCTATAATGCATGTATTCAACCAGAGAGGTGTTACATTATAACTGCTCCTTAGATATATATTTTTTGTAACCATGTCTTTCGAGTTTTAACGGTGAATATCGTGAAGAAAATTGCTACGTAAATTCATAATTTAGAGTGATTTTGGGCGTTGAAACACTAAACCCTAAACCCACAAAACAGATAACTTTTTACTCAGGCCAAACAGAGCCATCGACTTTGCTACATCAAAGTCGTTGGAAATAAGAAAACAGAATCTAGAAGAGATTTATCACATCAATGTCAAGTTGTTAACCATAAGGATACATGCAAACACAACATTGCTTAAATTGAGCCGTTTTCTTCAACGACCAGAGAGACTAATCTGTTGATAGTTATTATCAATGGACTCTTTGACAGCATCAACCACTAGCTGCGTCTTCCGGCTAATGCTAGGCCAAAACAAATCAGGCTTTGCACCTTTGTTCTTGATTTCTCCAACCAACCTGGCGAATTCACTCACCATACACGCTTCTTGAGGGAGCTCTGTCTTAACCGTGTGTTCAGCCGGAGGGTTAACCCATGCAGTCGCTGCGGGCTTATTGATCCAAGCGTTAGTGCAAGTTGTGAATGATGCCTCCGTCTCTTGAAACGGGATAACAAAGTCGTGAACACGAAGTGTGCCTTTTGTTCCAATGGCGGTTATCTCCATTGTTAGGTTTGCCAAGTAGGAGCAGTATATGGTTGCGGTTCGTTTGTCTTCTTCCCATGTCATAGATGCTCCACAGGAGAGATTCACTCCTAACTTGTTTCGGAAAGTTCCTGGAAAGGCCGTGACTGTTTTGGGAAGCTCGAAGTTGTTGACTAAAAGGGTTGCTCGGATCGTGTACCATCCAGCGTCTCCTAGCGCACCAAGACCATCAAGATCCGGTTTGGCACGGATACTGTTTTCGAGGAAATCTTTGTTCGCAGCCACGGTGAAGCAACTATGTACCTGCAATGTTTTAATAACGAAAAGAGTTTCAAGAAACAGCTCTTGACAATATTTAATCTTTCAAGAAACAAAAGTAATCACACAAACTGAGGAATAATTACAGAAGCCACAAACTGACTATTGAAATGGGATTTTTCTATTAAAAGCAAACAGTATGGCATTGAAAATTCATATTTTCCTAGAAGTTTGTTTTTTTTTTGGGTGGATATTGAGAAATCCAAAAAGTAGAGACAAACATGAATTGGATACCTTATAATTATAGGATATACGGAATCAGAGTCGGTTCCAAATAACTATTTTAATCGAATTGGGATCGGCCGGATCAGCCAAAAATAGTTAACAATAATTATATAATAAAATCACTAAAAACTAGAACCAAGAAAAAAAAAACTCAATTAAGATCTATTACCATGTATAAAGGACATGTTGACTATATGTTCCTTATAATAATAGTATAAATGACAATAACTCAAAAGCGATTTTAATAATTTGATGGCAAAAATGTTTCGAAAGAATTAACACATGTGGAGAGAGTGCTTACGTTTTTAAGCTGGCCAAAACGGTCTGAGTCGAAGAGGAATTCTTTAAGCTTATCCGTTCTAGGATGATGAGCCCACATGGTACCATCCATAATCTGAACACCATTGATCTCGCAAGCCGCAACAATCTTATCGAACTCAGCTACGTTCATGGCCACAGGCTTCTCCAAAAGGATATGCTTCCCTTTCTCGGCGGCACGTATAGCCCACTTGGCGTGGAGGCTAGTCGGAAGAGGAATGTAAAGAGCATCAACCTCTGAATCTTCAAGAATCGACTCATAGGAGCCGTGGACCTTTGCCGATTGAGGGTAGCCATTGGAGGTAGCAAACAATTTGGCTTTCTCCATGGACCGGCTTGCAATAGCGGCTATAGTGGCGTTTGGAGCGAGGTGGATTGCTCGAGAGACCTTGCGAGCGATTTCGGCGCATCCCATTACTCCAATTCGGATTGGCATATCGGTAGCCATTGTTGTTGTTGATATATCGGATTAGGGACTAGTGGTCATGTATAGAGAGAGAACTAGGATCAAAGACAAAACATGTAGGGAGAGAGAGGTTTAGGACTTAAAGTGGGGAGACCACCTCAAATAAAGTTTAAAGGACACGTTTTTATAAAGAGTCGAGCCTACCTGCCAGATCTCCAAAAAATATCAGAAAAGTTAACAGTTGCCACTACAAGAAAACATGCTGAAAACCTACGGAAAATATCGTCAGAAAAACATAAAAAACAGCCCTTTCTTACCAAATTCCTATGAAATTTTGTTAAATGGTAGGAAATTTCCTACGAAAATGTTGGTAGGATATTTTTCCTACGGAATTTTTAGTAGAACTTTCCAACCAAATTATTACCATTTTCTATCGATTAGTGTTCTTTCCAATTTCCTACGAAACATCACTTACCTATTTCCTACGATTTTTTTACTAATCTTTTACTTCAAATTTCTTACCAATTTTCTACCAATATAATTTTATAAAAATCAAAAACTAAATTAATATCAGAAATTGAATTTAAATTAAAATATAAATTAATTATAAATTTTGACATTTTTTTCGTAGGAAATTTCTTACCTATTTCCTACCACTTTTATTTTTCGTCATAATTACGTAAGAAATTGGTGAAAAATATTCCTACCAAATACATTCGTAGGAATTTTCGTAGGAATATGATATGTTTTCTTGTAGTATGCTGCTTTTTAAGAGGTAAAGCTTTTTTTTTTTCTTTTGAATTGGTAATTGTGGTTTTACTTAGACATTGTTTATCACAATTTAGCTAGTCACTTAATGTACAATTTCAAGTAACTATTGGTTCTTCTTCATTATCATTTTTAAACTTTTTAATATTAGGACATTCCAACTATCTTGCTGTCGGTACTGATCATTCTAAATAGGTTACTGCAAAGAAAGAAAGACGTTTTTTTTACCTTGTTTATGAACTCTGTCTAGTTTTATTTTAACAGAAGGTTGATATATATGAATTTCTGGTTCTTTATGCTTTTACATGTTTTCTCTCACCTTTCTGATTACACCGTGTGGTTACATGCATAGCTAGCTCAACTCTCTCTCATTTTTTCTTATAAACTTATATATAGAAGAGACAACCTCGAACCCTAATGAAATTTATTAGGAAATATTATCTCACATCGGAATCGGAAGTTGAAAGAAATCCTGACTAATATATAACTGATAGGGTCAATCCACTCATTGTCAATTGGTTTTATGTTGGAAGCATAAGACACTTAACATAGTATCAGAGTCTGATCTATGCTGTCCAACCCGATTCATTATCGATCCAACCCAAAGTTGGTCCCATCGATCCAAGCCCAAACATAACAAGATTGATGGCGAAAGAACCATCATCTCGAGGGAGCGTATTAAGAAATATTATCTTACATCGGAAGTTGAAAGGGATCCTGACTAATATATAAAAGATTTGAGTCATTTCACTCATTGCCAATTGATTTTGAGTTGAAAGTCCAGAAAACTAACATAGTATCAGAGCCCGATCCACACTGTCCAACCCGATCTATTATCAATCTGACCCAAAGTTGGTCTTATCGATCCAAGCCTGGACATACCGAAATTGATGACCAAATAACCATTATTTCGAAAGAGTGTATTAGAAAATATTATCATACATTAAAAATTGGAAGGAATTTTTACTAATATAAGGGATATGGGCAATCCACTTATTTTCAATTGATTTTGAGTTGGAAGCTCATGAAATTTAACAAAATCACCAAAAACATTTGAATTCACAAGAAGAAAAATTTTCCTTCTTGACCAGTAATGCAAAAGCTTAATTTATTGTGGTTCCAAAAGATTAACTCAACCCAAATCCAACTAAAGTTAACGCTTGGGTTTTTTCTTGAAGACTTCCTCGTCAAGTTCACATCTTCACGTTAATAAAATAAAGCAAGTCAACTGATTCATGTCTGTGATAATTAAAAATAAACCATTTGCAAGAATTTATAATGTTATTATATACCAAACATTAATAAATAACTATTTGATCAATTCCATAGATTACATTTCTAAATATTATTTTTCATCCTTTGTATATTTGCTTGTTCATTGTTTGTTACCTGCAAAGACAAAGTAATAAGTTATTTGTTTTTCAATATACTAGAGGCCATTACTATAAGAAAGTTTCTTTTCCGAGAGCTCGTCATCTCACAAAGACCCTAAAAATCAACCTTGAGAAAGTTTCTTATAGTTGGGGCCACGACTTTGAGAAAGTTTCTCAATTTGAATTCTTTTCCTCCTCGGTAGATACCTTTCTAAAATCAATGTTCATAATCTTCTCTTTATCCTACATCTCTCATGGTTTCTTCTTCTTCGTATAACATCAGGAGATACCATGTCTTTACGAGCTTCCACGGGCCAGACGTACGCAGAACATTTCTTAGTCATTTGCACAATCACTTTGCAACCAAAGCGATCACAACGTTCAACGATCAGAAGATCGAGAGAGGTAACACAATCGGACTTGAACTCGTACAAGCCATTAGAGAATCATGACTCTCAATCGTGGTGCTCTCGAAGAAGTACGCTTCTTCAAGCTGGTGTTTAGATGAATTGGTTGAAATCTTGGAGTGCAAAGAAACTTCGGGGCAGATTGTGATGACGATTTTTTATGATATTGACCCATCGGATGTACGGAAACAGAGTGGACATTTCGGAAGAACTTTCATGAAAACTTGTGAAGGGAAAGCGGAAGGCGAGAAGAAAAGGTGGATCAATGCTTTGACATATGTAGCAACCATTGCCGGAGAACACTCTCAAAGCTGGTTTGTACTTTAGTTTTGGTCTTCTAATAAAATGGTACTTTCATCTTAGACACATTCCACAATAATACACCAACTAAGTTTCTGTTACCATTTTTATTCACCTAACTTTTCACCAATCACCATATTTTATATCATAACACGAGATTACAAAAAAAAAGCCATACAATAGACACTATTTGCGACTCTAAACAGAGCGTCGTATTATGAAAAGAGATGTGTACAAGAGAACCATGAGAAAAGGTTTGTGTCGGAAAACCTCTTAAAAAATGGATAAAGGTTAATAGTTGGTGATGGAAAAGATATAATACGTTTATTATATACGTATGCAAAACGTTGATTTCTTAAAATGGTTATAGAAATTTAGTTGGTGCATTATTATTAGGGATCTCTTATTATTATTGAATTTTCCATTTTATTTTTCTTAAGAATGCTTCAATGGTGGTGCCTCTTTAAATTTGGACTCGTTATTTCTGTTAGGGACGATGAAGCTAAGATGATCGAAAAGATTGCTATTGATGTTTCAAACAGACTAAGTCTTACACCATCAAAGGATTTTGACGGGATGGTGGGAATGGAAGCCCACTTGAGAGAAACAAAATCTTTTTTATTTTTTTATTTATTTTTTTTTTTTTTAAAGTAACCAACTTTTAATTAAAAAGAAAACCCTTACAGCTATGACCGAGATCATACAGTTTTAGAAAGTAGGTTAAAAGAAGAGAAAAAGTGAAGAGTACATAAAATGAACCAGATACAATCGAATCTTCCGCTTCGATTGACTTTCGTGCTTAGATTAACAAGAAAATTAGATGCGACCGCCTCGGTTACCACGTCCTCGGTTTCCACGTCCACGACCTGTGGATTGCCAATTCATCTCTTTAGCCTTTGCTGATGGCTTCACTGGTCTTTCTCGAAGAATTCGCTTCCCCGAAGGAGTCATGAGATCCATCGAGTCCATTTCTTTGTCTGAATCCGACAAGTCTTTTTCTTCTTCCGGAGAAATCAGAGAAGCAAACTTATTAGAACCCAAATCAGGCACTACTATTCTCATACTTTCCTTCTCGACAGTAGGTTTTGCTTGAGCATTAGTGGTAACAGTGGAGTATAAAGAACGAGCAGCCTCCAAAAAAGAAGACTCAATGACATTATTGTTGGTAGCTGAAAGAGAGGTTTGATATGCTGTGGGGACAGTCGCATTCACAATTGTCGAAGCTGTAGATACCGGAATGATATCTTCTATGATGGAAGCTTTAACTAAATCAACGGTGATAGTTGTTAGTAGCAGGTATCTCAATACTTATGGAAGGAGCTGAGTTAGAGTGGTTTTGAGCAGAGATCGGGACAGAATTGGAAGCTCCAGCCACGTCCATGTCAACCATCAACACAGTTTCTTTAGTTGTATTATCATCAACCCTTGGGCCGTTTTCCTCTTGTAAGCAACGCTTAACTTTGTGTCCCAATTGGCCACACCTGCTGCATTTAGAAGGCAACCATGCATATTCCACATCAACCATTGAAATAACCCCATTTAAATCATCAGCAGCTATTCGGGATGGAAAAGCTTTACTCAACTCAACTTCAACCAAGATTTTTGCTTCACCCATGAGAATGGGATCCAACCGAGGCTTGTGAGTTGCCATGGGAGCACCTAAACCCGAAGCAATATGACTTATACCCGGGATAGCATATAAAATATTGGGTATGTTCTTTAAGGTTACCCAAACCGGAATGGTTTTAATCTCAGGAATAGCAAGGGAAGCCTCTGAGGTCCAAGAAACTACAAACATTAGGCAATCATCAACATGCCATAGTGCTCGCTGGAGAACCCAAATCCTAGTGGATTCATCTGGTAAATGGAATAAGTAATTTGATTCACCAAGCTTCCTAATGGTTATTCTGCAATTTCTTCCCCATAACTTGTTGAAGACAGCAAATATTAATCCACCTGACGGAGGAGAGCATCTATAGAATTGACCAAGAATATACTCTTTCTGGTTCTCTAATCCTTGTAACAAGACATGTTGAGGAATTGTTACCTTAGGAGTCCCATCTTCTAGATATTCTGGCTCAGTTGCCCTGTAGAGATTCCTTGGATTCATTTTTGCTGCCCATGGAAACCGAATAGGATCTTCTACAGCCGCTGGTTTTGGTTTTGGATTATAAAAAACCTGTTGTTCACGAGCCTGCTGCTTTCTACTAGGCTTTGAGACAGAAAGAGTAGGCCACATTTCTCTGGAAATTGGAGGAGCTTGATGAGATGACGATGCAATTGAGAAGTTT